ATCCACTGCTCCAAGCCAGATCCGCATCCTGTTCCTGAACTCTGTCCATCCACTCTTCTCTTCTTGCCATGTTCCTGGGGAAAATGCTTCGGGGCTTTTAATCAGCTTGTGCAACTCCACTTCTCCAGGCTTTCTTTGTTCCTTTACTGCTTTCTCCAGAGATGCTCCTATCTCCTCAAGTGTCGTTGCTGCGTTCGTGTGGGCGTCTGCCAACGCTGTTTGCGCTGTCTTCTGCTGTTCCTGAACTGCTGTCAGGGTTTCCTGGAATGCTTGTGTAAGTCCTGCTTCTCTTTGACTTCCTGAAGCTGCTGAGTTCCTGATCTCCTCTGCTAGTGTTTGTATTCCTTGTAAGGTCTGTGCATTGATCTCGGCAAGTGCCTTCAATGCATCCTCCATTCCTTTTGCTGTTTCAAGGTTGCTGTACACTAGTGCTGCTAAAAGTAGCGACTTGCACTGCTTCCTGCTCACTGCTTGTGCTCTCCTTTCTCCTCTTGTCTTCCTTTGGTGCTTTGAGCGGTTGCTTGCTCTTGCGAAAAACACACTAGAATAGTACGACAGGGTGATCCAAGTAATCAGTCCCATTGGGGTTCCTAAGAACACTGCTATGCGAATTCCTTGAAATACAACTCTGTTGGAAATGACTTCCTGAACTATCACATGCACGACGTCGTGAAACTTCTTTCCTACAGTTGCTAGCTTTTCTACGAAACTGTGAACATGTTCCTGTACAAATTTCCTCAGTACTTCTCGCTGTTGTTTTACTAGGTACCTAGGGGCGTAGCCTGACTCAAGGCTCTCACTCTCCTGGTTCTCTGTGTTCTGATTGCCGTTCCTGTTCTCTTCCGTGTAGTACTCGCCGGTCACGCTAACGACGCTGTAGAGCTCGTTCATCACTTGGTTCACGCACAACAAAGCGTACGGTACCATGACTTTTCCTATCTCCACATAGTCCTTAATCGTGTACGCGTTCGTGTTCCTGATCGTGTTCACGTTGGTGCCGTCGGGGTTCACGCTGCACTCGTTGTAGCCTTGCTGGTAGTACTCGCCGTACACGTCATAGTTCCTGTAGCGGTTCCGGTGCGTATTGGGCTTCCTTCTGCTCGACCACACTGCCATGAGCTCGCTCTCGTCGCTCTCCACGTAAGTGAGTTCCTTTCTCCCACGGCTCGCATCCTTGGAGGGTAAGACGTCTCCAAGGGCAAGTTCTTCCTTGGTCTCCACGTTGTTGCCAAGGGCCTGCCACGGTCTCACCGCCATACTTCTTGCTCCTGGGACCAAGATCATCCCGCACAAAGTTGCGAGGCTTCCCAGTGCGAAACCAACCAGCAGCACCATACATGCTGCCAAACCGTAGCACTTCATGTTCCTTTTCTCTCTCTCTTCCACCAACACTCGGTCGGGGTAGCAATCGGCGCAAGCGTCAAAGTCTCGCGCGTTTCCTGCTGTCACGTTGTGGTTGCGAAGGTGTCCACAACCTCTGCGGTGGTACTTTGTTCCTGAACGGACTGCGATCCTGAGCGTGGGCATGTTGAGCACTGTCTCCGTCTTCTTGGTGATCTGCTCATTTGCGCGCATCTGCTTCCATCCGGCAACGAGGCAAACTGCCATGGCGCCGAGCATCATGGTTCCTATGGCTACGAGTAGCATCATCGCTGCCAAGGAGGTTCCTGGAGGCAGCTCCGCTACCATGTTAAAGAACGGGCTTCACTAAGGGTTCCTACCCACAAAGACTGTCGGACACTTTTGTTCCTGGGCACGGTGTGTCCTGGGGTCTCGAGCCTGCACGTCGCGTGTGCGTGACGGCTGTTCCTGTACATTAACTGTACTGCACTAGCTGTGTTACTGTTCCTGGCAGAATGTTTAACAGGACGGCCGAATTGTCCGTTTTGGACACAGGATCCCCAATTCCGCCTTTGCCCCAGTGCAGCCCAGGGAAGGTTACGGATAAGGCTAGCCCTGAGGTGAGACCCAGCTGCAACCGTGATCAGGAGACGGAGGCCCGGGAACTTTGTGAGGCCATCGGCGAGGTTTTGCAGCCTCTCAAGCCAGAACAAGATGTGCCAAGAGAGGTCGAAGGAAAACTGGTTGTTTTGATTGAGAAGCTGGAAAAGTCCGCGCAAGAACACAGCCCACTTTGGGATCTAGAATTTTCCGTTTGTGAAGCCTTGGTTGATCCTTTGCATGCTTTGGAAAAAGCCCAAGAATTTTGTGCAAACTTGCTTGCTAGGCCGTCTTTGTTTGCTGTGTTTCGAGCTGAGAGTGGAGTGCAGCAGCCTGACGCCGGCTCCAGTGGGGAGCCCACCTTACCCGATCCGAATGCGCGTGAAACATGCCGTGAACATGTGAGTGAAGGTAGCTCGCGGATGGACAGTTTTTGTTGGCAGACCCTGAGAAACCTGATCCAGCAAGCAAGCGGTGGTGAACCTGTTCAGGCCCCTCTTGCGTCGTCCTTGTTAGCTGCAGCTGAGCAGATTGAAGCCTCTTTCCCTGAGGGTTCTTTCGGTTACCAGGTGGGCTGGCAGGTAATGGTTGCGTTAGAAGGCGACGCGACTGTGTGGCGAAGAGCAGCATGCTTAGCTCAACAAGTGTTGAGATGCCCGGGTATCGCGAGCGATGTTTCTGAGATCAACAAACCATTACCACAGGTTTTGCAGCACTCCTTTGGCTCCCCTAGTGGTTGCCTTACCTTATCCACTGAATGTAGTCTGCCGGCCTGTACTGCGCCGTTCCGTGAGACTGGGCCTCAGTCTGTGAAGAGCGAAGTTTTTCAGAAAACAGTTGAGGTTTGCACTGGATTGAATTTTGCAGGGGCCGATGACAGCCGGGACCAACATGCCACCCCCGCAGATCTTCAGGTAGGTTTCGTGAATGTCACCAGCTTTAATGCGGCAGCTCTTAAGTGGATTGAGACCTGCGGTTGTGCAGCCGTAGGTGTGCAAGAGACGCACCTCAGCCCGGAGCAACTGCATGTGAGGCGGGGTACTTTGCAAGCGTTGCGTTGGAACACGTTTGGCGAGCCTGCGTACTTAGGAGACCAGGGGCATAGGCTAGGGGGTCTGGCCTGGGTTACGCGGAAGCATCGGGGTTTTTGGCAAAAGCATAGGTACCTGGTGGAAGGTGCCGGCTTTGAAGCAGTCGGGCTCCGAGCTGGGGGTTTGGATTACACGCTGATTGTGCTCTATTTGAAAGACTCCGAGGGCCCTACGGGGCCGAGACACGGAGATATCCTCGCAAATTTGGCAGCGTATGTCCGTGCTTTGCCTGAGCCTTGGGTGGTAGGAGGGGATTTCAACTGCACTCCCGCAGAGCTAATGGAGCACAGCATCGTTCAGGTCATTCGCGGCAGAATTCTTGCAGTTAATGAAATAACGTGCACGCAGGGGGCCGGAGCGGAGCTTGACTTTGTCCTTGTTAGCCGTGCCCTTGAAGCTTTGGCCTCAATCAGGATTGAGTGCAGTGTCCCGTGGAAGCCGCATGGAGCCCTTATCGTGACCTTTGCAGGTGCGCTGACCCTCAGTGGAGAATGCAACAGTTTGCGAAACTTGTCGGTGCCCCTGTTGAGGGTGAGTGGCCTTGTGTTTCTGCGTCCAGACCGCAACTCATGTCAGCTGTGGGCGATGATCCCGTTTCTGTTGGTTTAGCTGGCTGGGCTAAGGCGATGGAGATTTGTAAGGGTTCGTTCCAAGGCCGTGGCCAATCTGTGCGTGCAGTTTGGGGAACTGTTGCCGAAACCCGGGTGGTTACTTTAGGCAATAAGACCTTGGCAGGTTGGTGGGGCAGGATGCGCAAGTGTATTGCTCGACTCCAGGCGGGTTTGAAGGGTGATCTTTGGCACAAGACAAGGGGTAACGCACAGCAGGCGGATGTTTGGCTGGACGCAGGCAATTGGAAGGAAGAGGTTCTACATTTCATCTAGCCGCAAAGTATACTCTCCCAAATTTCTATAATTCATATATAAACATATTCACATCACGTGTATCACGTTGCAGTTCGATCCTCTCCTTTTTGGCGGTAAGACACTTCGTGCAGCAGCATAATGTCAAATGCAGATGCAAGAATGTGTACGAACACCGGCTGCGGAAGTGTAAGAGTACCAAAAGCAAGGACCATAAAACAAGTATTGAGATAGCCAAAGATACCACAAGAAGTACGCCGGAAGTCGTATGCATTCAATGTCCGCACTTCAATGTACAGACAATGTACAAGGCACTGGTGACTTGACTATGTACCGTAAGACATGCACAACGCAAGTGCCACACCACACAGGGCGGGTGGGCGGGGCCTTTCTTGACCCTTCTCTGCTCGAGCAGCTTTGCGGCTAGATGAGCAACAAAGATGAAACATCATGCGTTAGAATACAAATGTAAAACAGTTTTGAGCAAGCACAAAAAGCGTTCTACATTTCATCTAGCCGCAAAGTATACTCTCCCAAATTTCTATAATTCATATATAAACATATTCACATCACGTGTATCACGTTGCAGTTCGATCCTCTCCTTTTTGGCGGTAAGACACTTCGTGCAGCAGCATAATGTCAAATGCAGATGCAAGAATGTGTACGAACACCAGGACTGTAAACTGCCACAAAGGAGAGGTCGGACTCGCAAGCACTGCACTCCCACTACCGAAACGTGAGGCCGACAGAACCTGAGTGGGCATTCCGCCCAGAGAAACGTCACCGCATACGGTTGAAGAGAAAGCAAGGTATATGAGAAGCATAAAGTACTCAACTATCAGTGACGCCCTGCGTATGCAATCAGACCTAGTTGCCTGCCACTCATGCCTATCGCGTTCACTGATGCATGTTCTGCATCTCACAACACCGCCCTCAGGGGAACGCATGTGCTCACGGGGGAAGGCAAGCCGACCGCGCGCCGTGAGTGTCGAACCCCGACGATGATGCACATCAACACCGGTGTTGCAGGAGCCCCAAGAGCCCACGGGGGAAGGCCAGGCCGACCGCGCACCGTGAGATGTTGAACCTGCCCGATGCCGAGTGCTCACACGCTGTGTGCATTGAAGGACGATACAGGCGGCTGCCAAAGCAAGTTAGCATCTGGCGGGAAAACGCGAACATCTCGCTCGCCCTCCCACAAGACTGTGAGTGGGCAACGAACCCGGTGATCCAAGATGAACCGGGAAGGAAGTTCCTGCAAGTCGCCTTTCCACCTGCTCAAGAAATCAGCTGTATCATTGTGACATCCCGCGATGTGTGTACAATCAAGAGAGATTCCAGACTGCCAACTCCGCGTAGCCAGTTTCTGAGCAAAGAAACACAGCGGTGTATGTACTGTGAAAAGCTTGTTCGTCAAGGACTCGGTCCCCAAATTATCCGACCAAGATGGGATGCATACCCGAAGTCGCCCAGTAGGAGTGATGGAAATGAAAGCGATCAAGAGAGCCAGTTGTGCCAGCGTCTCATACGCTGTAATGTCCAAATTAGCATCATCTTTCATGGGCAATCCCAGCGCACGGAAATCTTGGACCGTAAACCATTCGGAAAACCAAACAATGGGCTGATTCGGCAATTCAACCCATCCGCCAATCCCAATGTCGTTGCCCTTAGCACAAGCGTCAGCAGCTAATGAATACTGAAAGTCCAAAGGCGGCAAAGACAAGCAGCGGGGCATCTGAGGCCGCATGCAAAAGTGCACCCAGAACATGATGAACTGTCTGCTCACCGTGCTGATTCGACGCTTGCTAGATGATGCATCCGCCACACGAATCCAGACACGTTTGCCTGTGGCCCGCACCAAGCGCAAGTCCGCTTTGCACTTGATTTCCACATGGCGAGCACTCAACAACTTGCTGCCCGGGGGGATGGTCGACCCTGGTGGCGATTTGCGGAAATGCAAGTCATCCGTCAAGGTGTCTGCTAGCTGTTGCCAGGCGCCTGCATGCAAAGAAAAATTTGTGCCCAAGGGACGAGACATGTCGTGGTACAAGCAGCACAGCCACGGTAGCAACTCGGGCGACATCTGTAATATCCAGTGAAGGAGACCGATGAGAGCCTGCAAATCGCGCTTGGTACAAGGGTCGGACCGGAGCACTTGCATCAAGCTTTGCAAAAGTTTGGCCACCTTAGCATCAGGCAGACAAAACGTGCCTGCACGGAAATTAAGCTGCCACCCAATGTATTCCAGCTTGGGCCCCAACTGGAGCTTACGCCAACTGATCGGGTATCCAAATGATTGTGAGAATGCCACCATAAGGAGCGCGGAAAACTCGATGGCGGAACTGTGCTGAAGGAGTAATGCGTCGTCCACGTACATAAGTAGGACGTGGCTGATGAAGATCAGGCGATGGCCGGTGCGAACATAAAAGCCCGCGACGCGTTGCCACCACAACGCTGAAAAAGAACCTCCAAATGGTGCCACTTTATAAAAATAGTATTTCCCGTTCACACAAAAACCAAGCAATCCTTGTTCACTCGCCCGAATCCGAACGGTTTTGTGGGCTGCCTGTATGTCTAATGTGCATGCGGCTATACAGCCCGACACACCCCTCAGGGGATACACTGCCCGGATGTCACCGAGACCGGGGAGAAGAAAGCGCTCAGGCAGGTGGCAGCTAGGGTTAACCCCACTAACCGATGGGTCGACAATTAAGCGAGGATCTCTAGAACCACTTTTTACTACATTCACTTTGCCTACAGCGACCCGGGGCCATTTGGCTTGGGCTTCTTCGAGAGAGTCGAAGACGTGCACGTAGCCCTTGTCCACCTCTTTTTGCACAAGTTCCGCCAGCAATTCTGGCTCCTCATTGGCCCCAGGCCAGTTGCCCGAACACACTTGCACATCAAAATCTTCTGGATCGAAATGCGCTGGGGTAGGCAAGAAACAGTTGCTCATAGAAATGTCACCATCAACACCCGTTGGCACCCCAGCCTGTAAGTCCTTCCAAAGTGCCACATCACGGTCGTCAAGAGCCTTGCTCAGAAGCTCAAGTGCCTGAAGACAGTAAGGCTGGTCGGGCGCGACCTCCCATGAAACTGAATCCGTGAAGCCCTGGGCTCTAAACCAATCTTCCCAAATCGACCGCAATGCAGGGAGCTCATGCTGCTGAATGAGAGGCTCTTGCGATGACTGGCTGACATGTTTGCGAAGGCGATCAAAAAGTTTATGCGCTTTGAAAAACCCCCACATATCTTGACGCAACTGGCGGAAAGTATCCTTTGACCCCGCCGGAGGAGAAGTCCAGTCGGGCTGGCTGTAAATGCCGCCACCATCCTGCTGGCCAGTCGGGAAATCGTTCAAGGGGCGAATTGGCAATGCAGAAAGTGCCTGATCCAATGACGTGAAGTCGGTAGCATGTGAGTTCTCTGGGAACAACGGGCTAATGGCCTCCATGAACGCATTGCACAGCATGGGAGGGAACACCGCCGTATGCCGAGACACGAACTGGCCTGTGGCGTCACGTTTACCGTGAAACGTATCATGATGACCCGCAGCGTGCTGGCAAGTACTTTGCAATTGCTGTAAAGGTCGCCAACTGGTGGCGAAGGCCCAGTACTTTGCATAGCTCGAACCATAACTGCAGGCTGCAACCTGAATCACATCCGCCGCAATTTCCAGAAGGAAAGCCTGAGTCACGGGCTCAGCCCAAGCCATAGAGTTACGGGGTTGTTCTAAGCTTACGTGATTGCCACTCTGATATACAGCGTGCAAGAGCATGACTGCCCGAGATAACAGAAGGTGGCTGGATCGAACACGCTCCTGGGCTTCGTCATTGTTGGAGGGAAAGCCTGCCAAGCATTCCCATGATCGGCAGGGTGGCGGTCCGCCATCAAACTGCTTCACAATGCTGTATTCGCAGCAAGGAGGGGATGCGTTTGCAAACGCTACTGCACCTGAGTGGGAAAGCTTCAAGAGGCTATCGAAGATGCGATCATCACGTAAGTCTGATGCCTTGTTATGTAGAATATCTATGGGAACACACGCCCAACCCCGACGTGCGGCCTCCTGACAGAGTGGTGCACCTGCACCGGCGAAAAGATCCAAGAAGAAAAGAGGGTGCCGCTGTGTGGCCACCACCGGTGGCAGGGCTGAGATTGGCTCACTGGAATGAACCGCGGATGCGGCAGCTGACTCCTGTGTCTGCGATACACGAGGAAGTTGCTCCGGAGATACCTCCGGAAAGCCAAGATTGGCTAATGTACCCGCTGGCACATGGGGCAACGTGTAACAAGTGATGGACCATCTAGTACCCACGAATGGCATGGTTTCATGCCAGGCACACGCTGGAAAAGCAACGGGATTACGAAAAGTCTGAACCTCTTCGCCCTTCACCCAGTGCTGGCTGCCTGGTGGCTGGCGCCACAAAGTGCCTGTTGCTGACTCCAGCCACAATGCACCCCCCTGAAAGTCCCCAACGGAGACGTTCAAATTCATGGAGCCCTCACTGTTTGCTAAGTCCTGGTGAAGGCTAGCTACACGGTTGAGATTTATACAAATCGCATTCCAAAATTGATCCGGCCAAAGAACCTTAAACAAGGCGTTCAAACGGCGAACTATGTCGGGTTTATCTTGGGTGATAGAAGTAAGAACTGCGGGTTCCGAGGGCCTAACCCCAAAATTCCAGTAGCCGGTACCAGCGTTTTCACGCGGTTGCAACACAGCCCTTGCTGTATGGCACGGCGGCCACTCCACGGATTGCAAAATGTTCAAGATTGTGTCACATGCAGCTGACACGGCAGACGACGGGTCTGCCACTGCGGCGCATGCAGCATTCGACACAGAGCTCGGAGCATCCACTGCTGCGGGCACCGGTGGGACTTCAGAAAACGTGGCCAGGGCGCGACCTGACGAATCACATTGTGGAAAATCCGAGAAATCAAGATTGGACTCCTCAGCATCAGATTGTGGCTCAAAACAAACAGTATGGCCAGTGTGCATGGGTTCACATGCCTCAGCCGCATGTAAGACCGACATGTCTGCTTCCGCATGAACAACGCCCGATTGGGGCGACATCAGGGGCTGAGACATGCACCCCGCCTGTCAGTGGGGCGTTTGCTTGTGCTCTGCCGGACTGTGATCCCCGAGACACATGCGATTGTTTGGCAAAATCACCCCACACACATGTTCGAACTTGCACTGCTCGCGAGTACACTTGCCCTGCTGAAACCCGGAACACAGAAGGCGTTTGTTCTTGCCTTGCATCCATGATGTACCCACTCGCAGGCCATTGATCATCAAGGTATGACGCTGGGAACCTTTGCCATCCTTAGAACCGCCCTTGTTGCCCTTATCCCCTTTGCCGCCCTTGCCGAGGTTCCCCTGCTTGCCATCGCCTTTGATGCGATGCGGCGTCCACGGTTGCCATGGAATTTTTGGTGCGACGGCCCTCGGCATGAGCAGAACGTGAAGCTCGTTGCGAGCCACGACAACCTCGCGTATTGCCTGATCCATCGTCCAGTGCTCTTCATTGAACAAGACCGCGATCTGTTGCCAAAGCTGTTTCTCTGCGTTCTCGGCCTCCAATCTGTTTGGCACTCGCAACCCCCCATCCCGAGGCAAGTGATCGAAACACTTGACAAGAAATTTACGGTTCATCTCCCGCAGGGTGTAGAGATGGGCGCCGTCTGCTAGCGCAATCGCCACTGCCTGCAAATGAAGCAGTTCTGCCATAACACTCTTAGCCATGCCCTGTGTAGGCAACTCTCTGCTGGGTATCTCTTCCCACAACAGATTTTCAAGCCGTGGGGCCTTAAGGGAACGCTCAAGAGACTTAGAGTCATATTGTTCTTCTGACAACCGCAACTTCCACGGTATCCATCGCCAACGGCGATCCTGCAATTGCTGATGAACCAATGACAGAAGACGTGGTGATGGCATTATCTCGGGGCTTAATGGTTCCGAAGGGTACTTCTCACTGAAAGCCTTTATCATTTGGCGGACTGCCTCGCCACTGAGACGCTTCGGGAATGCCTCAGACCATGAGGCCTGATCGGCAAGCGCACCTGTGCTCCCCACGGGATTGGGCTTGGGAGGATCATGTTGCAAGGGTGCCCCCGACTTTTGGCATTTCCGCCACAAGAGGCGAATCCTGGCCTTTACCAACAGATCGGATGGCTGAGATGGGTACGTAAGGCCATCTAAGAGTTCCTGAATTTCTGCATCAGAAAGAGACCCGAACTCATCAGGGGCAAACACAGCCACATCTTTCCAAAGAGACTCCGGGATGCCCGAGCCTTCCAATAAGGCCCGCATTGGGCTGGCCTGTTCAGTGGCTTCCTCTGAGAGAGCCAAGAAGGGGTTGGGTTCTGATAGCGCCATGCTCTTTTCTAGAAAGTGTATTTACCGAACGTGGAAGCTAAACGCAATGGAAACACAATCAATTCGGAAGCGCTCACACAAGTTACAGAAGAAACTTCGTGGTATGACTTGAAAAAAGCACAACATGTCCTACCATGACCAGCTGAGCCAACAACCTTCCTGTTGATGTTCATTGAACAACAGTCACTCGCAGCACAGTCACCTAACCTGAGACATGTAACGCATGAGACATGGCAGCACACACACAGCGACTACCTTGAGCGACGACCATGCATAGAGCGTTCTTTTGGCATGTCCGATAGCCCAGAGATCGAATCTTCGACAAAACTACCAGCTACAAGCGTTGCAACGCCTTATGAGCACGCAACCAAGGAGTTACTCCGATTTGGCACACATGATCTGCAATGCGAGGCTGGTGTCCAGGACTTCTGTCCCCACCACTGGTGTCCAGGACTTCAGTCCCCACCAGAACAGCCACCCGAAACCCCAGCGCGGTGTCCAGGGCAATGCCCCCACCGGCTGTATGCCATATCCCAAGACGGGATAACAAACGGGCATACCGCCCTGAAGGTGTCCAGGGCCCGAGCCCCCACCACTGAAACCGTGCCGACTCTGGCAACCCACTTATCTCATAGCCAGCCGAAAAGAAGCCAAAAAACCCAGGGCAACACTGTGTGCATAACTGAAGCAGCTTGTCAGCCGGCCGATGCAAAAATTTTATGGCAAGCTGGATGACGGCATAGCCTGGACCCGGGTGCGAAAGACATGGACAGTTGAAGATTCTTGCACAATGTGCCACAAGCCGGACGCACGAGACCTGCCTTGCAAGGAGTGCCATGAGATGAAGGCATGGCCACATGCATGACACCTGATCCGCTTATCAAGTAACCAAACTCCTCGGGAGCGCCCAAAGATTCTGCTGCTGATTCCGAATCTGAAGACACCAAAGCATGCTCGTTCAAGAATGCATTATCTTCCGCCTGCGAAGGTTGGACGTCGACTGTGGCCTGCGGAACCAGCGCCTGCTCGACCGCCACGGAAGGCACATGCGCTCCCGCTGCATTCTCCGGTACAGAAACATGCACTGGACCGAAAATGGGCGGAACCTCAAAAAAAGGCGGCACGGCTTCTAAGGTGCACAACGGTTGCTGAGGAATCGAATGAGCTGCCCCCCGCTTCTGCGGGGCAGGAGGCAGCCATCCGGCCCGTACTGCTGTGCAGACAACGGCCTGAGCTCTGAGCGCCCCCACGGTGTCTGATCTGCTATATAATGCAGCGCTGTCGAGGCGATGATGCCCCGCTGAGAGTCTATCCTCCTTCCCCACTGCCCGAAGGTGCATAAGATACAGCAAAGCCGACTTCAAGGAGTGCAGAGTGAAGACTGACTCCGCCCCAGTGGCGCAAGCACCGGATGCCACGCACCAAGAGCGCAGCACTCGCAGCGACTGTGCGTAGGATAAGGGCGCAAAATCACCTGTCGCCTCGTCGAACCGAAACCAGACACAGTCAGGATCAATGCTGTCGCCATGCATATCGCGCAGTCGATGCCAGACTTCACCAAGCGCAACTAGCCAAGCTGAAACCCAAGTGAACTCCAAAATATCCGCAGTACCATGGAAACCCATAACCCCCGCTGCCAGCGGCATGCCCCTGCGCGTGGTTTTGGTCTTGAAGGCCTCTGCCCTAATGCAATCGGAACACACTTCGAAGGATGACCACCGAATGCGCTGGGAATCCGACCACCTCAAGGAGGCGTGTGCACACAAGAGCAAAGCACCCGCGTGACACCTGTCCTGCAAAGACATCTGAGCCTCCAAGAGCATCACCTCGCAATATGACATCAATCTGATAGGAACCGGGTATGATTCTCTATGTGGTTGAACTCGAGGGGCCAGCAACATGGCCACGAGCCCATTGTAAAGATCAGGAAGGGGCAAATTGAGCATCCGACGGAACCATCGAAGGGCTTTGATGGTGTTGACGGGCTGAAAGTCGGCTGCCGAGTGCCCCCGGTGGGTCGCCCAAAGCATATCAACCAATTGCGCCTGATTAAGCTGATCAATTGCTGGCAAATCAAGCTCAAACCCTGCCCTAAAAACCGCTAAGACTGCCGTCATGTACCGTAAGAGTGTGGAAGGCGCCAAAGTGTTGAAGAACTTTTCAGTAAGCAAAAGCTCATTTGTGGAGCTCGACATCTGAAGGAGCACATCAGAGTGATCCAAGAGAATCGGCTTGAGTTCCAACCATAAAGCCTGAGCCAACTGAAGCTTCTTGGCATCATGCTGCACTGCAAACTCCACAGTCCCACTGCCCTTAGTAGGCCTAAAATTTGTCCCTGCATGAAAACTGCCACTGCTCGTTGCCTCACGTCCTGCTGGGTGCTCAAGAAGTGAGTGCTGCTGAGGCGGGCGAAGGGCACGCTTGCATGTCGGCCTGACAAATGCACTAGCCTGAGGTTGGGGATCTGCTGCAACCGAGCGCTCGTGATGGAACAAGGACCTGGATGCCGGTGATGCATGCATCGCGGGACGGGGAGCAGGACTAAACCCAAGACCTTCCGAACTAACATGGTGCAACATTGTCGGCCGCATACACGGACGAAGGGATGCAAGACTAGTAGGACGTACACCCTGGGCCGGCACAGGAAGCTTTGTGCGCTTCAAGGGTTGCATAATTACGGGACGGGGTGCAGGCTTATCCGAAACCCATAAACCCTTACTTGAGAAAATGCGCTCTGGTGCCATTACTTCATCAGACAAAACCCACTCGAAGGAATCCAAATCAAATGAAGACACACTTGGTGCCACAGCCGGCACGAGGGCAGCCTGATCGCCTGCATTTGAATCTACCACGGAAACAGCCTCAACAGCAGAAGCATCACGCTTGAGAAGACGAGCAGCACGCCGGGCCCAAGGCGTGGTAGCCGTAGCACTTTCCTGTGTTTCAGGAACAAACGGCAATGGAGCCGCCACCTGTGAAGTCGCATCTGGCACCGCAAGAACATTTGCAGCTGGAGCTGCATGTTGCCTAGCCTGCAACGCCTTTTCAAGCAAAACAAGTGCCATGAAATCACAAGTTGTCTCGAAGCTGGCTAAAGATCGAACGCAGATGTTGTA